GCCAGGGAGAACTGGCCATGTTCCTGTCACCACCTCTGTGACAGTGGGATGTCCCCCCTGGTGGGGACAGAGGGAACCCGTGGCTGGGTCGTGCAGGGACTCCACTTCTCCCATTCCCAGCCGGTCTCTCCCGGCTGATGCCGGAGCAGCCCCGGTGCGGAGCAGGGAGGGAAAGCAGGTTGTGGCTGTCGTCTGGAGTTGTTTCCTTTCCCCCTTTTCCCTCTCCCTTGCCGATGGAACGAGCAGCTTGAAGGTTTTTACGGCCCTGTGCACCAACCTCCCCCCCGAAAGGCCTGATGGTGGGTGATGATCCGAGCCAGCGTCTGCTCCGGGATCTCAGGAATGACACTTGGAAAGTACTCTGGGGGGAGGGTGTTCTTGGCACCCCAACACCCACCCCCAGGCAGCACCCAGAGCGGTGGAGGGGGCAGAGATCCCACTCCCCTCTCCATCCTCCCCGGAGCAATAACCCTCCTGATCGGTGGCTTTCCAGTCCCTTCTGCAAAGTCTCGGCTAAATTACTTCCCTGCCCCCTCCTCCAGCACAGCCCAGGCAGGTACCGAGCACAGAGGCCCCATTAGTGTGTAATTAGGTAGATTCCAGCAAAAACCCATCCTCAGCCTCCCTCCTCCCCCTCTCCCCCTTCCCGAAGCCGACCGAGGCGTCAGCGAGATGTAAATGAGCATCTCCAGACAGAGCAGAGTTCACCCTGCACTGGGCTCTGCCTCGCTGTGCCAGTGCTCTCCTCGTTTTAATAGTTTAATAAAAATTAGCATAATTAACGAACATCTGTATGATCCAGAGTGGTGCAATTTGGCACTTGGAAACGAGGACTTAAACATTATTGCTGGGAGTTTAATGTTGTTTTAATTCTTTTTGGCACCGCGCGGTGGAATAACGGCTCGGGCTCGGCTGCTGCTCATTTGCATTTCCCTCCCTTTGATTATGAGCAATCGTGGGTTATCCAGCAATTCATCAAAGCAGAAATTATTTTAAAATACCTCTCGCGGTGTTGCAGCCCCGGAGCTGCTGAGGGAGGGGGTGGGCACAGGGTCCCCGGCGTGCCCAGGGCGCGGCTCGGCCCGTGGGTGCCCGGGATGCGAAGG